CACAGGAATGCCTTCAGCCATGATGGGATAGCAGGCCTCCACACAGGAATGCCTTCAGCCATGATGGAATAGCAGGCCTCCACACAGGAATTCCTTCAGCCATGATGGGATAGCAGGCCTCCACACAGGAATTCCTTCAGCCATGATGGGATAGCAGGCATCCACACAGGAATGTGATGACTCACCACGTGTGGCAGGTCTGATGGGAAGCAGAGCGAGAATCTCATGGTCTACTGGGCGTCCCAAGCTGTGACTTACATTTCCTACCATATACAGTAACTCCCCTTTTACCGGGACACTCAGTCCCTCGTTGGTGTATTTACAGATTTCAAAGGCTTCAAATATGTAGGTAACCAGGGCTGGACTGTGATTTAAAATTTGCATTGAACTTTGGGGATCCCTCACAGCCCCACAGTAAATTTTGCATGATAAAAATTCTGATTTTGAAATCTGAAATTGAACTTTGATTTATTAAACTATGCTAGATAGCCAGTCCAACACTGTATGTAACTAATTGTCACCTTTTCTACGTTTTCTGGTAAATACATTTTTTTTTTAATTGTTATTTTTTTTTATAACGGAGCAGGATTAACTAAATTTTAAATTAAATGACTTCTCAATGATGCTTTTTCATAGAATAACTAAGTGTTGCCAGTTTTAGTTGAATATTGTGTCCATTGCACCGGATTCTTTTTGAGTCAAGAGCTAATTTCCTGTTTACCTAAATATACTGTTTAACCAATATATTGTAAAATAAATCTGCTGTCCATTGTCAACTTCATCTCACGGATTATTTTATGAATCTGACCATGGTGGACCTTTCCCAGAAGTATAATCACGAGCACTGTGCCACAATAACATGAATGTTGTAATGCTATTTATATGCATTATCAGCTAATCTATAAACAGAGATAGTACAATTCCCTTTAAAACCATCACCCATTTTTTCAGTGAACAAGCACTTTTAATATAATCAGTTTTGGCTTCTGTTCCTGTGTTTCCTCACCAGCTGTACTCACAGTTGTTTATATGCTTCAAAGTCTTTCCTAACAGCCTTCACATTTGAAAAAATGCTGCGACACAGGCATGCACAAACACACACACACACACACACACACACACACACACACAGACACAGACACACATATTTTGTTTTTATTTATCTTCACTCAGAGCATCTAACTCTTGCATTTCTAGTCAAAATGTTATGGAACCTTTGATTATGTTACTATTTAGATGCGGGTCAACACCAGAATGATTAACTAAACTTAAAAGTGTACTTTATTTATTGCAGCTTATGCTGAATTATTAATATGGCAATACAACAATACTGCATTAGTTACTAATGGACATTTTAGCCCCACCAGCACAGAAAACAGCGTTATAATTAGCCATGCTATTCACCATTGCCTCTGGGGTCATTTCAGTTGGTTTACTGCTGCGGTTTGTTGTTATCATGCTGTCTTAATGTCCATTCATTTCCCAAATGCTTATCTTGGTCAGGGTTGCAGAGAGGCCCACATGTAAACTCCACACACACACACACACACACACACACACACACATACCACCACCATGTCAAAATAACAGGTTTTTATCACATTGTGGGGACATTTGGTCCCCACAATGCAATGCATACATGACCTACACATACAAAGAGGGATTTGAAACCCCAAAGCTTTTCAGTGTTAACTGAAAATGTGTGTAAAGAAGTAGATTGTTTCTTGTGAATTGAGAGAGCTAATTATAGCAATTCTGGAATTACATACATTGCAAAACAAGATTAACTGCCTTCATTCTGGAATATTTTCAAATGGTAAATAGATATGACACTACATAGAGAAATGGACAATCACAGGTCGTGTAGTTGTAACTCTAACCACTACTACTTTGACATTGCTGGTTTTTAAATATGTTCCAACAGCTATACCATGTGCGTTAACTTTATTGAAATCTTATGTGTTAAACAATATTCTAATTTCTTTTACTTTTTAATGATTTCGCAGATGTCCTGTAATAAGTTTATTACTCATTTGTTCTCATTTTTTTATTACTCATTGTTCCCACAAATCCCTTTTATAACAGAAAATGTTCCCGTATGGACAGATTACTCATATTCTTTATTAAGGAATGGTGTAAGTGACTCAGCAAAAAAAATACATTGTTTAAGGGGTTGTGTTTATATTGCAAATTATGTTTAACATTTTATTATTAATTATGTTTACCATCACTTAATATTTAAATTTTGCATATCTTTGAAAAACAAACACAACAAGTAACATATTGGTGCAAGTACTAGTGCAATGCTTTTTCCCTGCACAGGGTACTTAATCTGCATTAGAAAATATCCAACTATGGAGGTTTACTGGAGACATGAGCCAAATTCTACTAGGAAAACAAAAAATGTCACTCCTTATTCATTTCAGGACCTCCAGGTGAAGCTTGTCCTTTTCACTGAAAGCGGTGCTTATACTGAACTCACCATATTTGCTCATGGCCTGATTGCTGAGCGCAAACAAAACATAACAACATTTTCTGATACTCAGACTGGGCAGAACATTAAAGGGGACATACATATACATATAAAGTATGTTCACCAATCTCTCCTTTCCCCTATTTGATGTACATGTCCGACTCTTTGGTCTTGTCAACAAGCCACAACAGCTGTATCTTAAGGGTTATGGGAAGGCAGCAGAGTAAGAGTCCTGGTCGCCTTTGGCTGGCTTCTGCGCTGCCGCACAGCCCTGATAAGATGAGATGGATGGGGAGCATTCTGCTGTTACTCTGAAACCACAGACTGGCTCATCTCCCAGGCCTGGAACTGACTTCTGCCATTTGAAGCACTTACACAGAGATACATACACACAGAGATAGATAGACAGATGGATAGACAGACACACAGACAGATAGACTGACACACAGATAGATAGATAGATAGATAGATAGATAGATAGATAGATAGATAGATAGATTGATTGATTGATTGATTGATTGATTTTCCAGGACCCAACTCTGATATGGTTGCTCTGTCTACCATGGGATCGGAATCCATGTCCTTCTGGATTCAGAAACAGATTCTTAACCACTGAGCCGTGCAGGGCCTAGATTAAATACAACAACAGCAATCTGACCCATGCATGCAAAAATAAAGTGACAGTAAAAGAAAATCGCCCATCTCCCAACCTGGAAAGGCTTTCTTGGAGCCTATCCCATTTGAGAGGGGGTATAAGGCTATAAGGGGTATAAGGCTATAAGGGGTATAAGGGCTCACCCTCCAGGGGATGCCAGTCACATATACGCAGTGAGGGATACCAGCTAAGAAAACGCACTCGTTTCACTGATTTTGTCATACAGCTTCTCAGAGGGTGCCCTTTTTCTTGAAATGCGATTGACATTTCTAGCAGATGATTGATAAGAAGGAACGTGCACCTGGTTGCATTTACTTATGATGGATAGACAATTGGCTCAGACTTTGTGCTAAGTCCTATGTTTAGGTAAAAAAAAAAAATTGACAAGTTGATTGAAAAGGGGTGGAAAACAAATTGAACAGTCGTCAAATTATATAACCCGGATCGTAACAAATATTTTCACCATAGTATTCGTCTGGTTCATGTTTGTCAAAAAATAAAGCCGATGTTTTATGAGCGATATTTTAAAACTACTCTGAAAATACTGAGACTCTGGGTCATATGGTAGTTTTCCTTCTAATTAAGTTTAAGCTGCTCTTAGGGTCATATACCAATTTGCAGCCTCATCGCTTCTTTAGCAAGGGGCACTTTTGCTTCACCAGGACCATTACTGGAGGATTTATATCTCTGTCCATTATGGACCATGATGATTACTTGCCCCCATTCAGCAGTGTGTGGCTCAGCTCTCAGGCTCGGTTACTGTGTCTTTTCCCATTTGGTGTTGTCCTGCTGTATTTTTCCCTATGGCCTTGGGGCTCAATGGGCTGAGAATGTGGCTCAGAGGCAGATACCCCCTCTGTCATGAGTGTTTAATATTTAGATTTTATTTTATTCCCCCGTGTCTGGTATTATGATATTATTAGTTCTGGTCCTCCCCTGTCCTGCATCATGTCTTGTTAGTAGCCTTTTTAAGTGCCTTATCTTGTTCTGTTCCACAGTCTAGCTTCCTGTGTTCCTCCCTAACTTTGGTAAATATTTCCTCTATATAGATACACAATTGCAGAGCATTTTAGACTCATGCTGTAGGCTTTTTAGCAGAGGAGACGTCTGATCCATTAAGAACATTATGGGACGATTTTTCGCTCCATCCCGTTATGCACTATGATAATTACCCGTCCCACCTCCCGCGAAGAAACGCCCTTTTTCTTTGGCTGGTTTATTAACCAGGCGGAAACATCTCCGCAGAACCAAATGGAAGTGCCATACAGTAGTAAGTACTCCAACAGAGCGCAGAGGGTTAAACCCTGGGACCCTGTAGGTGAGTCGGGGTCTGGCGCTGTGAAAATCGGATCCAAATCAGTAAGGCAGACGGGGAAGGATGACCGACCGGAGAGGCGCCGGGCGCTGAGTATTAACGGGGCTTTTGCTCGACTCCGGGGCTGCATCCCCAACGTGCCCGCCGATACCAAACTATCTAAACTTAAGACACTTACGCTGGCTACATGCTACATCGCCTTTCTCATGGACCTTCTAGCCAGGAACGGCCCCAACGCAGACAGAGAGGACTCAAGTGCAAAAGGAGTAAAAAATAACGGATTGGTAAGTTATAAAGAAACAAAACCGTAATAAAGGCATACACCTTAATGTGTAGCTATGTTTTACATCGAATGTTTGTATATTGTGCACTGTTTAGGTTTGTATGAAATTGATGTAGGATATATACTGTATGGATTACATAACATTCATTTTCTGTATTCTTTTTAAAATTTCCAATGAATTGTTTATTATAGGGGAGACTTCACTGTTCATCGAATGGCAAATATAAGAAGGGAAAAAGAAGATCTGGATGGCCTCAGCATGTTTGGGCTTCGGAACTGAAAAGCTAAAATTTTTGGACTTAAAATCAAGTGCGTCTTTCTTTTTCTTCTTCGTCTGTTTTGATTTCCTGTAATTTGCTTTAGGTAAGTTGTTTCATTCTGGGCCAAAAGGAGCAAAAAGACATGTAGCTATTTTGAACTTCTGCAACATGCAGACATAACGAGTAATATATCGAAGACCATATTTTCTTTAACAGCCTATATTAATAATTACCGATGTTTAATAAAGACAGAAGTACAGACCCGAGGTCATGAGGACTTTTGTTTTGCAGGCAAGAAAACTGCATCCATTCCTTCGGTACTGAATCTGTCTCTTGATCAAAGGCAAATCCCTTATAACTATAAATGTACACTGCGTCTGTCTGATATGTCAGAATTCACCACGGTGTTGACATCTGGTGATCCTTAAAATTATTATTGAACTACAAGCCAAATGCCAAAAACAATGTCAAAACTGTTAACTCGATTAGTTTAACAACTGATAGATGGTTGAATTTGTGATAACGATGATGAGGTAGCCTAATTCAGATAAGATGTTCGGTGTTCATTTTTACGGATCTTTTTGAGCACGTGATTTAAAATAAACTTGTACCGTATTTGACAATTCGGACAAGCTGTTTCCTGTTTGTTTTTCACTGTTTCCTGTCATTACACAATAATCCAAACCCTTAATTAGAGTGCAATCAATTAATATGAAATATACTATTTTGCAAAAAAAAACAAAAAACTTTTTCGACTGCTACGGAAATATTTAATGAGAGAAATTTGGCCCTATATATTTTACAGGGTTCGTACGGTCATGAAAAACCTGGAAAAGTCATGGAATTTTAAAATGGCAATTTCCAGGCCTGGAAAAGTTTTGGAAAATGAATAAACTCAGAAAGTTTTGGAAAAGTCATGGAAATTTGTTTTTCAAAAATATCCGTGTACTTGAATTTGTTCAATTGATAATATTGGTTTTCAAATTGCAATAATTTTTTCGTTCGGGCGATCAGTCACATCCCAGTCAGCACAAGTACGTCGGCGCTACGTCGCTGATAAGTTTTTTTAAGGTCGGTATATGACTTCAACGTCATAAAAGGGGCGTGTTTCCGACGGGAAGTGATGTTTTTCGTGACGTATCGTGACGTTTTCATCCGAGTTCCGACTTGGAGAGAAATAATCGAACGCACCATAATTTACTGTTCGAAAAAAGAATATCGCTATGAATGTACTAAAATATTTTAGAAAGCTTTTAATGTGGTTTGACTAGTTCGTGTTTCTTGTTTGTCTCTCGGAAAAATCTAAATTTCTCCATTTTCTTCATTTGTAAAACACCAAATCTGCTAAAATATAAAGCAACAATACACAGCAACGTGTTCATGGAGGCAGCCATGTTTGTTCCGAGATGTGGGTAGCTCGAACGGGAGATTGTCGGACGTGATGTCACTCAACTCGGAATTTCCGAGTTCCGAGAGAAAAACGAACGCACCATTAGTAGCTTTTCAGTCATTTGCACATTGGGCGTTTAAGCGAGCAACACTTTTCAACACTTTTCAACACCGCGACGATCCGACGTTTTCGCGAATAACGCGATGCTTCGTAATGGAACGCGATCCAAATGCGACCATCCGCCGTTTATGCGACGTATTGCCTACGTACTTGTGCTGACAGGGATCACGTGACATGTTCTCTGCTTGGGGCAACTCAGTTGCAGCTGAGCAAAAATAAACAATGCCGGGAAAATGTCGCTTTAATAATGTTTGGCTTCAATCTGAAAAGTATAATGCATGGCTTGAGAAAGACCAGGACCCGGGACGAGCAAAATGTAGACTTTGCCATAAAACGTTCGACATTTCGAACATGGGAGAAGCAGCGCTATCTAGCCATGCTAAAGGTGCAAAGCACCAAATTTAACAGCATTTTTTTGCCCTGAAGAAGGCCACAGAGGCTGAAACATGTTGGCATGTTTTTAATGGATAGCCAAGTTTAAATAAAGGCTTTTAAAACATATTCCTTGTGAGTGCCTCAGAACTACTGTTTATTAAGTCATGAATATTTACCTTTAAGTCATGGAAAAGTCATGGAAATGTAATGGTAAAAATGTGTACGAACCCTGATTTTAGAAATATCTTCACATGGGGACACACTGAGTTGTCTCCATGGTATCAGGTATTATAAACTAGTTCCAGATAAAGACTTTAGTGTAATGTTTTTAGTACTGACTTTGTCCATTTACTTTAAGTTAATCATTTAGACAGCATTTAGATGACTTGTTAAACTGATAACGTAGATGCAGCTCAGGTTCAGAGAGGCCATACGTTAACACGAGGGGAACAGGCACCCCCGGGCACAAGGCAGCAGACAGGCCAAAGAACAGAAGGGGTCATGAGGCAGGTCCAGCCAACCACGTCGCTGCCTCAGGCAGGTCCAGCCAACCACGTCTGCTGCCTCAGGCAGGTCATCCAGCAGGCTGGACGAGAATAAGGCCAGGTTTGAATTTCTTGAAAATTTAAAGCAATGAAGAAAAGTTTATAAGAAATTCTTTCTCATAATTTTGAATAATATTAAAAGGTCTGTTTATCATTTAACAAGTCATCTTAATAATGATGCAGTATAAATGATTAATGGACAACTCGGTGTGTCCCCATGTGAAGATATTTTTTGAAAATCAATTCCCTAAGGGGCATTACATTGTACATATAAGTACTATAGAACAGAATAGTCTAGCTAACCCACAACGTTCAAATAGCAACTGAAAGCATCAAAATACAAAATGCTACAACTACGTTAGTAATACTCATCGTAAGTGGTTGCATGATGAGGTGTAGTAATTATGTATGGTCTATGGAAACTCGTAACACATGATAACGTTACTTTACTGTATGGAGATGCCGAAGCTAATACCTGCCTCAGCATCCCAATAACGTTTGTCGCTGCATTCTGTAACTGTATCTGTTTTATATTGATGGGGAAACAGGCAAGGGGGCAATGAGAATCGGGGAAATTATACTTATAACATAGATAAACCATACTTCATCCGCCAATAGCGTTCGCTGTCAGAAACGGCATGACTCCGCCCCCAAACTGTGAAAACCTCCCTCCGGCAGAACGCGAGCGCAGAAATTTCCCTCGAGCGCAGAGAGCAACCGAAGGATGTTATGATGAACGCACATGCAGCTCTTCGTCCTGTGCTCGCGAGTTTCACTTTTGCGCTCGCGAATGGCATATTTACGCGTGTGAGTTTTGACTTTGCGGTCGCGAGTGGCATATTTACGCGTGTGAGTTTTGACTTGGCGCTCGCGAGTGGCATATTTACGCGTGTGAGTTTTGACTCTAATGTGACGCCATAAATTCCGTTATAAAAATTAAATGACACTCATAAGGAAGTTGCTATGAAATAACTTGGTGTAACAAGGAAGCATGTTGATGTTGATTTTAGAAATGACATTTTGAAACCGCATGCCTGTGAAATGAGTAATATGCTATTAAGTAGCCTAATGTGTTGCCCTATACTCTAACAGCTGTGGGGGTGATCGGGCTGCGATGTGTATCGTGACATCGCAATGACCTCACATGCAGCACGTCGTGAAATGATGCGATATAAGAACGATTTAAAAAGCTTCAAATAATAAAGATGCCATAATTTAAAATAAGCCTAACACTGTTAAGGGTGCCGTTTCACAACCAAACATCACGTAAGAATAACTTATCCATATGATAAAATAATTTTCCGCCCCTGGAATGCACACGCCTCTCTAATGTGCCAGAGTCCACACCAAATCGGCGAAAATTTACCGTAAGACGATTCCAGTTTGTTCATTTTGTATTTTACTTTTATCTTCTCCCCAGTTCTAATTAAAAAAACTCTCACTTCCATTTGGACTAGTGTGGTGCTGAGGTATCACCCGCCACATGGCTGCACTCAGGTTCTCATCCCTGAGGTGGTTCATCATGTGCTGGGAATGGCAATGTGTTGTAACCAGTGTGTCCTCCTTACCTCTCTATCCAAGAAACACATACAGGTGAGATGAAGCTCGGGGGTCCCGGCAGAGGTTCAGCTGGCATGCAGCCCCACTGGAGCTGAGGTTAAGGGACCGTCACATCACTCTCCTGCTGAGGCTTAAACTGGCGACCTTCCAATGACAGGCAAAGAGACTCAAATCACACAGCCACACACTGCTTCCCATGACACACAAACCATTCTGTGGCTTCTAAACTATTTTAAACATAGAGCCACAACGTTTTAACTGAAGATTCTGCAGGAAAAAAAAAAACTTTGTGTGATTGTGCACTGTTCTGTAGGAATAAAGAGATCAAGCATAAGTAAAAAGATACTGTTTAATTTCCACAGGTGTACAGGGGGTCCAGTATTAGGTAAGGATGCAAGTTAGATATATACAAAAACCATGTCCTGCTTATGACATAAGAAATATCTTTATTTACATGGTATAAAAAGAATGGATATGCACAGCTGGTTTCCCATCTATACCATTATTTTTTATTTATCAATTTTTAAATCAATTGACAGGGATTCCATACAGAAGAGAAATACACTGTAATCAATTTGGGGGAAAAAAATCTATATATTTCTCAATACACGCCTGAAAAAAAGGGGAAAAAATGGACATATTGACATTCTATCCATATATGTGGGCCAATGTAAAACATCTAAAAAAAAATTATTAACATATGTCTCTTCCTTGGAAAACGGAGTCACTGCAGACAAAATTCAAATGCCCGTATAATATGACACCAATGTGGTATCAATGTTATTCCTAGGGTGGTACGTTCAAATTCCTCAGTCTGACTGACTATTACGTATTTATTCTTGCCAATATAAGAAAATAACATCACAGGAAATCTGGAAACCATTTTCATCACCCGCACTGACAAAAAAGCAAATAAAAACAATCCATGTAATCATATAATTAAGATATTTCTCAGCACTTTGTTGGATTTCACTGTTCCAACATAAAAGCTATAGATTTTTATGAAAGGGAAATTGTGACATTTAAAATGTTATTTAAAATTTAAATAGGTTTCAACCCTTCTGATTGTTATTTTAAATAATATTCAAAAGGGTTGATATCTATTACCAGTAAACATAATTTATTTAAATCATCTAAACATGCAACATTAGAATAGTTCTGCACTTTTAATCTTCAACTGGAAACTCGGGGGCAAAAAGTTCTCAAACTTCCAGAGTGAACCTTAAAAAAATAAACTATGGTGATTGATTTCATTGGCAAAAAAAAAATAAAAAAATTAGAATGAAAAAGTCAAAATCCATACATTCTGTAATTACTTTGCAAACTTAATTATTCCATTGTTATCAGGCTAATTTAACTGACATCTAAGCTTAAGCACCTTACAGTACAGCAGGAATCTCAAGTTCAGATCCTGGCTGTCTGCAGTGTTATTTTATGCTGATTAAGCTGTTGATCAGAAGAAAAAAAAAACACAATTATAAATTCATGGATCACTTGTTAACATCCCTGCAATATATTGGCATCCCACCATGGGTGATCCCCAGCCTTGTGCTTAGAGATGCCTGTGACAGGCTCTAAGCCCCCATGATCCAGTACTGGATCAAGTAGTATGACTGAAAAGTATAGTGAGAGCTGAAACAGCGTGTTCACCCATCTATCCATCTCCAATCACTTAGCCAGTACAGGGACATTGGGTTATAGGTGCATGGCAGGGTCCACACACACACACACACACACACACACACACACACACAGAGCTTGCAGACACCTCACACACAAAGCAGAGGCAGGATTCAAACCCTCAGGCCCGGAGGAGTGAATCAACAGTGCAACTCACTGAGCCACCGCCCCATCCACTATTGGTTTCAGAAAACCTAAATCATTTAAGATAGCAACGAAGTAGAAGGAAAAGGGTTAATTAAAAACTTAGCTGGACAGAATTAGCAGCATAGCATGCAGTCCTCAGGTACAGGAGTCAAGGTCCTCTAGCTCATTGTTTCCCAAGACAGTCCTTGGGGACCCCCAGGCTGGGAGCTGGGAGGGAACAAAAATGTGTACTGTCTGGCAGGAAGCTGGGAGGGAGCTATATAAAAACCTGGACTGTTTGGGGGGGTGTTCCTGAGGCCTGGGTTGGGAAGCACTGCCCTAGCTCTACCCCCCATCTTTTCACACAGATCATTCTACTAAAGTAATATTGAGGTTAGCATACAGACTTTCTCCTTGGAATTAACTCTACTGCCATTCCCTGGCATGATCACTTCCAAAAACCGCTAAACTGCAAGCTGACTTCTTCATATTCCAGTTTAAACCAGCAGGACACAAGGTAAACAAAAATGTATGCAATTAATTTGCTGAAAAAGGAGTGTTGGTACCCACTGAAGTGGGATTCTCAAATGATACAGGAAAGCAACACACACTTCATACCCTGAGTAATTCCCAAGAAATACCTTCAAAGACATGGAGATCAAGAAAACATGTAAACAAGACCTATAATGGGAAAATGTTTCAAATTGGATCTGTAAACAGTTCAAAAACAGGAGGATATATTTCCCATAATTCTCCTCTTCCATTTTACTAGACTTCTAAATGCAGCAGTTGTGCAGGCATCTGGTGGCTCCAGAAATTGATCCACAACTTTCAAGAAGCTGTCTGTGTAAGTGCTACACTGCCACGATGTTGTTCATTTCCCACTTTTGACTGTTTTTGCTTCGGTCGCAATCGGCGATGAAAACCTTGTGCAACAAATCTGATCGATCCAAGCATTTCCCAGTAGGAATATATGTAAACCTATTAAGATCCTGTCAGGGCAAAAAATAAATAAAATAAAATTAAATCTTTTTTTTTTTTAACTTATGAAACGTTACGCGAACTGATAAAAATTAGTAAAAATTAATAGTGATGAATAACAGATTGACAATATTGACCGATTGAGCCTAAAATTCCAGCAGAGCCTACTTGCATTCATAAAATCATCAGTAGTCACGCTATGGCACTACTAAGGATAGTTTGTAGCCAGCTTTACGATATACTCACCTTAAAATACTTCCACTCAGTATACTCATTCAAGTTGCAATGAGTTATTATTACTGATGACCCATCAGCTCCCTTTGTCAGGCACTGGTCATACTGCATGAGCTGACTGGCTTCATTTATTCGAAATAGCTGGAAAAAAATACAACAAAATGATACTGCTGAACTTCACTCGTAAAGCTTACGTTAACGAAAAGGAAAGTGCTTCGCTAACCTGGTTTCCGCCCATCCTGTGACAGGGCCCGGTCTCCACATTTCCGCCGTTTGTGTGGCCCATGCTGTCTATACAGTAGTTAGTTTCATATCCACGAACCTGAAAGGGAAATTCATAAACATTATCACTAGACATGAAAAAGATTGTAATACACTGGCTGGCCAAAAATAAATAAATAAAAATCGCACACACTAAGATTTCATTCGCCTTTAGCTTTGATTATGGGGCACATTCATCAATGCATCGCTTCCACTTGCTTATGCAGCATCTCAACATTTTTTTCCATACATACTTGCATTAATTTCTCATCAAGATCATGTATTTATGATAGGAAAATTGAACCACTGCGTAAAGTCCTCTTAAGCACAACTCAAAAACATTCGATGAGGTTAAGGTCAAGACTCTGTGGTGGCCAAATCATGTGTGAAAATGATTCCTCATGCTCCCTGAACCAGTCTTTGACAATTCGAGCCTGATGAATTTTGGCAAAAAATTCCTGGATCATCCAGGAATATTGCCCATGCCATTAGGAAAGAAAAAAAAATATTGCTGGGATAACCTGGCCATTCAGTAGATTCAGGTACTCAGCTGACTTCACTTTATTGCTGCATAACATTGGGTCATTATTACAGCTCAGCAATCACTGGCTTTTACGTACTTGCTGATTTAAATTCAAACAGTGTTTAGTTTTTGGCCAGGCACAGTATTTTACAAACCTAAAAAGAATAATGTTTGATACAGGATCCTAACAACAAAGAAAAATGTCATCCTGAATTGTAAATCAGCACTAATAAACACAATGGCATTTTTATAATAGCACTAAATAAAAATGTTTAGGAATAGGAAGTTTTAACCAATACCTCTCCCCAATCAACATTTCTGGGAGGCAGTGGATAGTGAGTTGGGATGTCGTAAGCGATTTCCTCCATAAACCACTTGAAGCTTTTACAATGGTGCTCCTCTCGAAATCGTTTCAGCTCACTGATGTCTCCGTAAGCCAGAGTCTGGGTTTCGGGTCGACTGGCGTAGAAATAGTCCTTATACTCATCCCACCATACTTCAACTACACGCACATAGTTCTGGTGGAAGGACAAGAACACACACATTTATTTTTTTAGGTAAAAGGACACAGATAGAGTACAGCGTAAAAGTCTTAGGAAGTCAAAGGAAATGTTTAAATGAACTTTGTTGTACAGTTATTACATCTGCCAAAGTATGTTAGACGTTTCAAAGCCTCTCCTAAAGTCTTTGCAGCAACCCTATAGTACACAGGTGTCAGACTGCAGTCCTGGGGGGCCGGAGCCCTGCACATTTTTGGGTTTCCCCTCGTTTAACACATCTAGCTGATTCAACTTCTCGTGCTAATTGCCACATAGCTGTTGAGCTGAATCATTTGTGGTGGAACAGGGAAAGAACTAAGCTACACAAGGCTCCGGCCCCCCAGGACTGGAGTTTGACACCCCTGCTCTAGTACACCCATGTATTTTTGACTGGAAGACTATCCCACCTCATATGGCTAATTGATATTTGACTTTCTAAATACATTTAAAAAGTCAACGAAGTGAGCAGGTGGTCAAATGTAACAAACACATGGAATGGCTGAGGTGCCCCTGAGGAGAAGTTTGGGAACTGAAGCGGTGTTCATCTAGCAATCCAGCAAGATATCAGTAACTTTTTGGAGAACAGAAGAAATCCCTGTTAGTTTTGTATCATGTTACTCCTAATTTTAATACATTTTAATATTAAATTGCGTTTCTTTTTTTGTTGTGAGCACATATACACTTACTACCCAGATAAACAGCTTTAAACATTTCTTTTGACCGCTTAAAACTTGTGCACAGTTCTTTATAGAGGAAATTTCCCTTTGTGTATCGTGAATAGAGACTGACGATAGCTGCTAAAGGCCTTCGTACGAAGCGTACCTTTAGCGTGGGGGAGGAGCCCACGTGAGCGGGGGGCGGGTTTCCTTGCCAACCATGGAGACGATATATATGTCCAACTCGAGAACAGGGCACAAACAGCAGCTGACCACCACACTGCCAAATCTATGTGGTTGGGGGGGGGAGGAAATCATAATTACATGACATTGCATGGCTAATCACTAGTGACTTGCAAGAAAAATGCCATGTTCTGATTTATTTAAAAAAAAAAAAAAAAAAAAAAATCAATTCATGATCAATTTCATGTTTTTATTGCGCACCTAACAGTTTATTTATAGCCGTCTGGTATTCCACTAAGCTTGTGTACCGTATTATGCAGAATGACACATATACGCATAGAAGTTTCACACTAGAAGGTACAAAAAGAAACTGTTATACCTTGTAAGAGATCTCAAAGTTTTCTCCTCCCCAGATCTGCAGGCCAGGGTCATACAGCCCCAGTTCAAAGAAGAAATCTCGCTCAATAGCAAACAGACCACCAGCCATAGCAGGAGACCTGGAGGGAAACGAGTGTCAGACCAGAGCAGCAGCATATCCAAAAGTTTACCAGCTGAGGAAAGGATGTACTAAGGAATGCAAGTCTGAAGATGTGTGTGACCAACTCATTTCTCCACCATTGATGAGACAGTATTAAAGCTAAAAGCAAGTGCTATCTTGGTCTAAGGGAAAGGCTCTCAACTCTGGTCCTGCTGGATTTAGTATGATTTAAACATAATATTAAAAATCACACTGATGGATTTGAAGGACTCTTGTAAGTTGTGCAAAGATCTGAAAAAAAGTTGCATCGAACTATATATTTAATATAGTTGATTTTAGTTATGCGATTAATTCAATCAGAACCAAAGTTGAAAAACCTGACTTGAGAAAAAATTAGATGCATGGGTAACAAAAGACTGTCAGTAGTAGTTAGTAATAGTGTTGTTAGGAAGCTTGTAACTATACAAGAGCAGTGAAACAGTTGCATTGCTGTGAAACCTCAGGGCCCCCTGTGGGACTGAAAGTTGGCTTTAGTGTTCCACAATGGCCTTAGCTTGCATGAAACACTATGCAGTGCCACAGTCCTGCCCCCGGTGCAGTTAAGCAAGCCAAGCTACCAAAAAGTCCCTCCACCAAAAGGCAAGAAGCAACAAGACTGCAGCTCACACGTGATTAATCTCCTATTCATGAATTACCGATATGGCTCAGTTTTAAAGGATCTCCTCTGCTTCTCCCTGTCTGAGAGGGGGACACGTTTCCAAAGCATGCTCCAGTCCCACGCTCCTCTGGCAAAGCCATCTTCATCCCCGCCCCCTTGTGGTTCAATGGTGTAAGTCTGGCCGTTTATGGAGTCAATGAGAGGCACCGTGCACACGGTTCTGAGGCGGATAGCCCATTGTATGGAGGTGGGGCGTGTTTGCGGTATCCATGCATCATACAGACATCACCGGCAAACACGGGACAAGAGCAAAAAGGGGGTTTGGGGGGGGGGGGGGGGGGG